CAAAGCAACTGTCAACCAACACCAAGGTCAGGATTTTCAATACAAATGTCAAGACAGTTCTACTGTATGGGGCAGAAACCTGGAGAACTACGAAAGCCATCATCCAGAAAATACAGGTGTTTATTAACAGTTGTCTACGCAAAATACTTCAGATCCGTTGGCCGGACACTATTAGCAACAACGTACTGTGGGAGAGAACAAACCAGATCCCAGCGGAGGAAGAAGCGCTGGAAGTGGATAGGACACACATTGAGGAAAGCACCGAACTGCGTCACAAGACAAGCCCTCACATGGAATCCTGAAGGCCAAAGGAGAAGAGGAAGACCAAAGAACACATTACGCCGAGAAATGGAAATAGATATGAGAAAAATGAACAAGAATTGGATGGAACTAGAAAAGATCCGGGACAGAGTGGGTTGGAGAATGCTGGTCAGCGGCCTATGCTCCATTGGGAGTAACAGGCGTAAGTTACGGATGAGTGGCATACCGTCGCTTGAAGCACAATAAAACGATCATTACGAAGATTATCTTTAAATCTCATTCTTCAATAAGAAATTTCATACTTAAGAACTGACAGATCAAACTGGTTGCTTTAACGCAAAAGCTCTAACGGTAATGTAAAAGAGTATTGTGCGGCAGTAAGGCTGTAAAGTTATAGAATCGCCGGTTTCCTTTTTGAGAAGATTCAAAATACTAGTGAAACCTGAAAGTGGAGTCTTTAGCAAGCAACTAATACAACCGAACTTTCCAACTGTCATTGTAATGTAGGTATAACATATTTAATGTGCTTTAGTGTTGACTGACTCCATTTCGTAAAAAATTGTTAGTAAAACCAGAAATATGTCGTTTAGTTTGTTGTATATTAATGATCGCTTATCAGCGAGCAACGAAATCTGCGTAGGCGTACCAGTCCTAAGACCAGGATCTCAGGCTATATTACACCGATTCAACATACGGAATGCTCATATCAGTAACCTCTGTGATATATACACTGAGAATTTACTCAAGAAAAGACAGACTTGTTTAGTACTTTTATTTCTTTAACAGAGTAATAACAGCAGATTCTAAAAGTATAAAATAAAGTAAATTACGTTTCTAAATAGAATATACGACAAGAACCTTACAAACAAATATCTTGTTGTTTTTCTTGTCATCTATAAAAAAAGAAAAAGAAATGATAATTTTGCTATTACAGTCAAAATCCGTAACTGGATGATATTAAAGCCTCATAACACTACTTCACACTTTTTTACCGAAAGTTAAAATTGCCTAAATTTTGAGTGTGGTTCAGAGTCGATTACACACATATCAAATTGGTCAATAAGTAGCACCAGTTATAATTGTAGTTCATAACAGAAATGAGCTGATAACTGTAGAGAAGTTTGATCAACCACTTCCTTTCCATTAGTGTTTACCGACCCCATCCTAACAAAATGGTATGTATGTCTGCATGTCAGACATAATTAACATCGGTGCAAGTTGTCAAGCCACATCAGCATAGTCGGCTAGAACTATCAAGAATGCCAAAGTAGTAGTAAAAGATATTGGGTAGACAGATGGATATATAACCCCTTAAAAAATATGTACACGGGAATTTGATAAACGTAAATTGAAATTAGGTTGTATGTTTAATGTCTGTATAAAAATTAGATTAGCTATTCTTTCATTATTTGATCAAGCTTGTTTAAAAAAGCAGTAACCAATCGACCTTACGCTGTTCTAATTATAACACCCTCCTAAGTTGGCAATGTGGTCGGTATGATTAATTAATCTTGCCGATTTTCTTCTATTCCACCATAAATGATATCCTAATAACAAATTTGAAAGAACGTCGTTGTGGTTCAGACACGTTTTCAGCACAAAGAATAATAAACTTTGACTATGTTAGCATTATTTCACCAGTCGAAGGGCTTGATTACATAAATTGCGACTGCCGTTTATGTGTCGTTGAAAATTATTTATTAGCATAAATATGAATAATGCCAACATATCAAGATTTTTCAAAGACTGTATACGACGGACTTCAAGAGCTGTCTCATAGGAAGTGATAACTATCCACGCATCTCGAACAACACACAAGATTCTCTTGTTCATTTTCGAATCCCTTTGTCACTACATAATATTCATTCCACCTATTCTCTTATGATTTTATCCACACCCACCACTAATGCTAACAATTCGAGTTCACGAAATGTTATTCCTGGCCTCTTAAAAGCGCATGTTGGGGCTTTCGACATTACAATCTTGCGTCAAAACAGATTTCATTAGCTAGAACTACAGAATTTCGCGCTGTCTTTGAAACCCACATACAGGATTAAATGGTAGTCATTCGCTTGACCTCACCTAGTCAGGATGAAGAAAGACCATGATCTACTATTCGAGCGTCTAGAGACTCAACCGGCACTTCTCGTGACCTTGCTAGTGTTTGGTGTACATCATAGGGTTCCAAAGCGGAATAGGTCCTCCTGGTCTAGATTCCAAGACAATCGCTTATGAACAAGGAAAGACAAGGGCACACACTATTGTCTCTGCTTAGGATCCCACCGACTGGGGCTAAGATGAAGATGCGTTTCACAGAAAACTTTCTGCCTTCTTTCAAAAAATCAAACGATCATTCACAGTAATCATAACAGGTGATTATAATGGCTATATCTCAACCAAACTACAGAGCGATCAGATGGATTCTAAGTGTCCCAACTCAGCGAACAGATAACAGTATTTTCGGAAGCAAATATACCTAGACAACCGTTTAGTCCTAACAACCATAAACTTTAAACGAAAAGAAACAGCGACTGACACGGCAACACCACGATACGACCAACGATGAATGCAAGTAGACAATCTTGTCATCAGCCATCTTTGGAGGCTCGACAAAGGAATTTGCTTATTCTAGAGCACATGTCTAGATCCTGATCACATTTCAGAGTGAGGACGCGTTTGTGTCTCACTGGATGCAAAAATGCCACAGCAATAAGATCCTTTAGAATTCAACTTAACGACGAATAAATCAAGAATCCTTCATGAAAAACTAGAGCAATTAGTCAACTATTAGCGTACTGTTCACCCCTCTGTAGGCTGCCATGATATTTAAACAAATTCGGAGACAATAGCGATATCTAGTAGCCGATTATAAGCCACATCACTTCACATCAACTATTGTTTACGATAATAATACGGAGTACAACTAAGTAGTCTACACGTCTTGGTTTGCTCATCCCTATATTTCTTACAAATTTTTTTACACCAGCTAACACCACACTTCACAATAGGTGCTTGAACACATGTAATACACCCCCTAACCACATCAGTTGAAGATTCACTGTCTCATCAACCGATGTGTCATCCTAACTAAGTGTCCTAGGTTTAATGTCAGCATTAATTGACGTTTCTAACATACGCCAGCATTGCTTTGGGCAGTTGAGTGAGATGAAAGTTATTGTAAAAATGATTCTAAACTATGTGTACATAGAACGCCATACACATTTAAGGAGAAATAAGATAAATTTGCATTTTATTTGAGGGTAAGCAAGTGACAGTCATAAAGTTCCAAATCAGAGAACAAACAGAACAAACTTGGGTTTGAGATAGTCAGTTGTGAAGGCTTTTAACTTTGTAAATTAACTGGTATTTCAATTAATCTTGAAAGATAGCTGGATGCGCACACAAATAGCCTGTCAATCGTTAGTCTTCTCTAGGAAAAAATTTGAATCATTCCCACCATATTCTTCACTATTCGGTAGAGCACATGTAAAAGTATAGTCATGTGATTAATCATCATCATGATATTAGTACACCATTTCAGGGACTCTTTCACATGTTGACTGATTTTTTTACATATGAAATGTTTTAGGAATGTGACTTTACATATAACTGCCTCTTACATCTGCACAAGTTCAATTCACAGAGGAACGGACCAAGCTGGAGATATTATTACGTAATGCATAAATCGTTTTGCAGACCTAATAATCTTTGAATATGAAACAAGAAATCGGTTCAGTAAAAGGTTTTCTTTTAAATGGCTTTCCTCTCAAAACCATACAACTTCAAACATATACCTTTTCACAATAATAAAGTATATGATTACTAATAATAATTTATTGGTCACGGTAACATAAGCAAAATAAACAAAAAATACCCCTTGACTCATGAAATCATTGAAGCAGAACACCAAGGAGATAGATTTAAGCTGATTATAAGAGACTATTGAGACTATGCACTTTTGCATCACTGACTGAACTTAGTTGGACAATCATTGAAAACCAGGAAGTACTGAACAACTGTTTCATCCTAGTATGGAACAACTGAGCACTGTGGGTATGCACGACTCTACCAGGGATCGGGCTCATGACTTCCAGACCACTGAGTTGACATCCACCGTTTTCCATTTCTAACTCTAGTCAATTTGCAACATTGAGCGGTAATCGCTCAAAAAAGACCTCTTTGCTGAACCACATACTTGTTCAAGTGACTTTTATCGTTGAGTTATCAAGATACATAGTCTTGTTTGAACATAAATCAATTCAGCCACCAAAGTATCCACATTTTCTCATACTACATCTAATAGTTTTTACCATCACAATGGTGGCTTAAATATAGCTCTTTGTCATTAGTATTAGTTTCATCATTTTATCTACTGTACTAATAACAGGTTACGTAAGTTCATCATTGTAGATTAAATAACTACCTAATTCCAAATTATTTCGTTCCTTTACAAAGTAGGGTTGTATGAATACAGGAGGTAGTTACAATTGTTATTCACCAGCAAACTACATGACCTTGCGCATGTTACATACGTGTCACATTCTATCTTTAAAAAAAATTAATGCATACGTGGACGATTCAGAGTATGTGAAATAAAATGAATTTATTTCATTTCTACAGCGTTAATTCTGCTTTCCGAAATTGAGTCAACACAACAAAGTGTACGTGTAAATAATAATAATAATAATAATAATAATAATAATAATAATAATAATAATAATAATAATGGTAGTAATAATAAAAATAATAGTAATAATAATAATAGCAGTGGTTGTAATGATAACATTAATAAAAATAATAATAATGGTGATAACAATAGTAACAATAATAATAGCAATAGTAATGATAGTAACAGTAATAGTAATAATAACAACAATAATACTAATGACAATAATAATAAGAAGAGAAAAAAAGAAGAATGACGACAATAATAATAATGTCAGCATATTGGGTAGTGATTTATTTCTTGCTATGAAAGCAAGATGAAAATGTCACTGATTTGACTGAAGGAAGGACTTGACAGACCAGTCGTTGCGCACCAGCACCATCTTTTCAGTTACTAGAGTCGCACCGAACAAACTAAGGGACCATTACTGAAGTAATATTATATCACGCTATAGGAGTTGATGTTTCCTCACACGAATGATTCAGAGTTCCTTTCTAACAAACTATTCTACTAGACAAGATGGAGCAGGTTTTCATTGTCAGTTTTTCTGAACAGTATGTGATATTTAGCTATTCATTCTTTCAACGACACTACTTGTAGGACACCATCAAAAGTAACATGCATTTAATTTAACATACTTGAATATGTCAGTGAAATTCATAGGTACATCATATGACTCAAGGTGCCAGACATATAACTTTTACTGTGATAAATTGATTTTTTACCTGCCCAGTACTTACTAAATGTGAAAGTGAGAACGCATGCTTCTTTTGAAGAGAAATATTTCACGTCTGTGGTTTTGGATTATTTAAACCTTGTACAACTGCAGTTGCATATGTATCATTTAAGAAACTGATAGACTGATTTTAAGTATAAAAAAACCCAACCAATTGTAAGAAACTTATTAAAATCTAAATATGTGTAAACTTACAGCAGATATGTGCGTACTGCAAGGATTTAGAAAATTAAGAGGGATATGGCTGGTTTCCATGATGACCTGGACCATAATTTTGCTGTGGCATTCCTGGTTGCGGAAAATAACCTGTTTGGTGAGAGCCTCCAGGTTGAGAGAATGAATTTGATTGTGGAAACAAACCAGGATTAGGACAGACTGCAGGTTGTTGTGGCATCATTGAAGCTTGTTGCATGGCGTTGAAAGGCTGTGCAGGTGGATATTGTGGTGTCATGGGATTGGGGTAAAGTGGGTTGTGTTTATGATAACCACCTCCAATATTTTGTCCACCTGGTCCATATCCTCCTGTCATCCCATGCTTATAAAATAAAAAAGATCAATATACAAATAGTTAGGAACAACTTTAGTGAAAAGTATTTTAATAAATAATAATATAAGTTTTTAAGTGATGGTAGAAGACAGATTGTTATATCTCGATGAGGATAACGAATGGTAACTGTTGGAATCTATTTCTGGACTAATACTATACATATATTTTTATCGTATAATTGTTAAGTAACTAGACTATTCATATTCATGTTCCTCTTACTATAGGCTTCATTTTGACCCATAAACTATTATTATACGTTTTATCATTCTTGAGTTTTGCCCAGTCAATTAATGACAAGCCCCCACATTCACAACGAATTTTGGCTAGATCTTGTACAAATGTTATTTTCTATTTTATGGTACGATGTGGTCTGTTTAGTTTGTATATAAACCCAGTATGTTATTATTACATTATTCGTATCACAAAGACTGAGATTGGTGTTCTGAACTTAACAGGCAGGGCTAGGCAGGAAGCAGGACCGACAAAAACTCTATACTGCTCGTACGGGTTCACGCGTCATTGGTCCGGTCGACAAATCGCCGTTCTCTAATTGGCAATACCATTACGTTATATATTAATAGGGTACAAGGTCAAAGATCATTTAAACCGAAAACACTCATTAATAATTTGTAATTAATCTTATGTTTGTTCAAGCTGACTCATGGCAAATTTGTTTTGCATGAACGTTATTCTCTGATTAGTTAAGTAAAAGGCAAAAGGAGTAGTGATGTCTTTACGATCTCAATTTATTCAATCACACAAGTAGAATATCAAACGAAATTTTAACACTGGTATCATGGTATAGTTCGTTTTCTTCATAGATATTTTTTTATTTTCCAAACTTTCGCAACTCAATTAGATGAAGCTCTTTCACATTATAACTATTTTGCTAGTCACTTTAAACGTAACTACTAAATATAATTGCATAATTCTCCACATGATCATATAAACGCCTCAACCAACCTTCCTACTGACTCATTATAATCGCTTGTTGTATACATTAAGACGTTTGCTCCACCAGGCTTCTGAAATATTAAAATAATTTCATTAAAATTCTCTGTCATGTACTGTTTACCCTTATAGTTTAAATTTTATATTTAGAATAGTTAGCAAATCCTAGCTAGTAATTGATGGATGGTGATGGTTAATAACAAAAATAACACATTTTTAGACTCATTTAACAGATACAGATTCATATAGACATCTTCAACCAGACTCCAAGTGAGAGGGTTGTTAATGTTAAGCACCCGGTAGCTCAGATTGATATGGGTGGAACGAGCTTTAAACTTGAGACTTAGATCGAACCCCGCCCAACAACTTAACTAAAATGAAAGCAATCGAGTACTTGTAATATTGGGTTAAATAAACTATTTGATGACTGGAAGGTAACAAATGTTACGGTGTTTGATCCTAGTACTGACTAAACTCGACCCACCAAGTCGGCGATCAAGTTATTCAGCTTACAGATTCGATGCTCAGATGAATGGGACGTAGGCTTCACGGTATTTTAATATAACCGTTAAGCAACAAATACTAGGCGCTAAGATATTTAACTTAGCTCAACACTTTCTAGCTCATACAAGTTCGATGCATAAAATTTGTGTACTAATGCAAGGTGATTGGAATGATAGTGAAAAATCACACATTTGGGTCGATTACCTGATATCTTTGCATAAAGTTTTGGTCGCAGGCTAGAACACCATGTGGGCAATATCCGCAAATACAACGGTTTTTCTAATGATATAAAAAATTCAAAGCACATACTTTCATCATTTTTTTCTGTACTTCAAACGTCGCTTCTCAATTCGTTCAGGCCTGTACCTGCCACCAGAGCTACTGCTGGAACTGCTGCTGCTACTACTACTACTTCTCTTCCCATAACCTTTCTTCTTGCCCATTTTGTTGCAGTTTCTTATGGAAGTACGTTGAAGTAGACTGAAAAATGAAGACATGATGTACAAGAAACAAAGTTACTGACACAATAGATCATTTTCTATAATAAGTTAGTGTGGACATAAAAACCGATATTTAACGGTGGCTAGAGTATTTCGACTTCAAAAAATAGATCTAACGGCTGTAGGAAAAAAGCCATTGTTTTTATAGTACTCCCGGTGTGGAAATTAAGTCTAAGCCAAACACCAACACTTTTAGTAACAAAAACAATATAACAATTTTTAAGCCTAAGAAGTATCAATCAAATGAACTTGGAAATCTGTAATTTTCAAAAGAGAAACAGAGACGAAAACATGGAAGCTCTCAAGTACTTCGTTTTTTATTAATCAACTCGGGGGAATAAACCAAACGATCATAAAACCTTGGCAAAATATAAACAGTAATATCAACACAGACAAATACATGACATTTTAAGTTATAACAATGTAACAAACGTGATGAGTTTTAAACGATAAACAAAATTTGACAAGGCGGATTTAGTTTCCATGGTACAGTCAGTCAGCTACAACGTAGGACCAGGCACATATGTGCATCGGCACAAGTTGCCACATCTCATTAACACAAGATGAACACCAAATTCACAGAAGTAGATACTTCACTGACAGTAATGTACAATAGGAAGATTGTGTATAAGGATATAGCACAGGAAGAAAGAATTAGTTCGTAGAAAGTAAGATATAAAGCAATTCGACGAGAGCGTTATTTCTACCAGTAGGTCTATGATGAAGTTAAACAAATGCGGAGAGCCTTGCCAGACACCACTTGAGGTTGCAAAAGCAGATGACAGTTCGCCATAAGCTCTCACTCGACTAGTAGTGTTCAAGTAAAGAGCCTTCACAAGGTTTATGTACTATAGAATCAAGCGCCATCGACGTGTGCTGAGTCTCCGAAACGCGCATACAAGATCCGAGTAGTGTCCTTCTTTGAATTCACCATGTCAAAGTAACGAACCAACTCGAGTTCGCCATAAGCTCTGACTCGACTAGTACACGGTACAAATGAAACAAAGATGCATACCTGTGAATGGGTCCTGAAGACATCAACTAGATGGTATCAACAAATCAAGACACTGATTTAATAGACTATATTGAGTTGTCCATAATTACAATCAGACACTAAGATTTTTAGTGGGGCCCATCATTTTGACGTCGATTAGATAGGACGATGTTGTCGACGGGTTCACCATTTTTGTGGCTTGAGATCTGACTCCAGTTATATATGCTTGGTTGTTATATATATATATCGTCAATCGTATAAAATTATCGACTTAACTAGCATTGGTGGATAACAGAATTAAATAAGTCAAATACGAGAAAGGATTTCGAATACGTATACTTTGTATAATCATTGATCCAGGCAGACCATAAGAGGAACGAAGAGAAACGACACACAGTGGAGAAGGCTTGTGAGCCAACTCCATTTAATCAAGCGTTGATCAATATTTATAGTCACACAAAAATAAGTTACAGAAATATGATGAGTAGGATAAGATATACACACATACGCTCATATAAAAACAGTCAGGGTTGATAAGTGAATAATTAGCAAGGTCAAAACGTGACTTAAGAATAATGGACAAATTGGCCTGTCCAGAAGCTAGAATAAGTTATGTGGCCTTAACATAGTAATTGACACTACAGATTCATTAAAATCACCTGACTAGTAGTGCAATACAACACTGAAAAATCTTCGCGCGTGGCGAGGTTAATACTTACAATTAGTCACCATATTGGAAAAAGATATATAATGAATGAAAAGCTTTCCATAGTACAGACCTATAGCTATAACATAACGAGCATCAATTATAATTTAAGAAACGACTTGTTTTACAATACAGTGAATTATATAGGTTAAAAACATTCTTGATAACGAGGTGTTTCTCTAGGTGGACACTACTGAAGTAATAAAACTATGAACCATTGTAAACTGAAAAGCGGAATGTGATCATTATATTAAAAAGGAAACTTTGTGCTCATAAGTAAAAAAAAGTACAAGATACTACCGTTGGAAGACTGTATAATTTAATTGCTTTATTCATATAAATACGTCAGTGAAATGTAAGACTATGAAGAGCTTTATGCATTATACTGAATTAAAGTATACCCACAGAATTACTTTCCAGTTTCCCGTACCGTATCTGCTACCTTGACGTGGTGGTCGGGCTTGTCTATCGTGATGACCCAATCGGACTAAATTAGCTAGAACATATGTTCCTGTAGGTTCTACCATGCCAGCCAGGTCGATGGGAGAACGGTAAGACTAAAAGTAGCAAATCAAGGTCTGAGGGCGAAGACGTACTGCTGACTGTAGAGGAGTGTAACAGCAGTAAGGTGTTTCCCTCGGACAACCAGCATCTGAAGCGGTGCTGCCTTCCCACAAGGAGGGGTGGGGTTAGAAAAAGTCGACCCTAAAAATGCACACCTCACCTTACCTCACGGATTTCCGTCTCCGGCAGTAAGGTCCTTTGAAGAACGGAGCTAACACGTCAAAAACCTCCCACGAAAAGGCCGTGCGCGACCGGCCTCAAGCAGTTGTCCCTTGGGCTCTGTGGTCACGCTCCCAGGTCGTTAAGACCAACACTAATCCGACTTCCTTTTTAAATTCCTCAAGAAATACCCTTCCACGGTGTAGGCAGATGGGAAGTGATATCAACCCTCATACCTGTAACAGCACACGAGACCAAGTCGGTCACGTTCAAATCCTCCCTACACCTCCTAATAAATCTCTTATCTCCAAGACTATCCATTTTCACGTCACTTTATCACCTCGCACCGCTAAAGCGAACGATCCAAGTACGCGGGACGTTATTCATGGTCTCATGAAACCAAGCTCTAAACTACACGTAGGAGCTTTCAACGTCCGAACACTGTGCCAAAGAGAACAACAAGCCTCCTTATCTAGGATTATAGAATCAGTCAGTCAGCTACAACGTAGGACCAGGCACATATATGCATCGGTCCAAGTTGCCATACCTCATTAACACAACAAGATGGACACCGGATTCATAAAAGTAGTTCATTCAAAGGTGGTAATATATAAAAGAAAGATTGCAATAAGGATATAGTACACGAAGAAAGAATTAGTTAGTAGAAAGAAAGATATGAAGTGATTTTAATCTCTTAGTTTAAGAGCAGACAGAGAGTGTATACACCGACGCCATTGTGATCGATTCTGAGCCATGTCACCAAGAGTCTCCAACCATTGGTTACGAAAGTCACGCGGACCCCAACCAAGTAGTCTGCATCTCCCAATATGGCTCAGACTAGAAGTTAGTGACTTCAAGCACTGATGCCACGTTTTGGTTCTGTTTGGTGAAGACGCTGACAAAATGCCGAGTCTTCTGACCACTGTAAGCAACAAGTCTTCCACTTTTACAGGCTATACCTCGTGGGTGTAGAATTATACAAAGCGTACCGTTGAACAATAAACTTAGCTCTCTAATGGTGAACGGATATCTCGCTTAAAACACAGGCAATAAAAGCTGACAAGTTTCTAAGTCCGAGCCGAGACTTCATTAGTTATGAACTCAGCAAGGCCAGCAAGACCAATGAATCTGATAACTTTAAACCATATAATCAGATACGATATAATTCACTTGGTAATACAGAGTAGTGTAGTCGACCTTCAGAGATGAGCTAATGATATTATGTAGCTACCAAAACCGAAGTGCAGCGGGATCTGAGATATAGTGGCCGATAGTCGAATCCCTATCCAAACTGAATTGCGGAAATCTCAACCAAAAAGTGATTAAAATGAATAAATAGCCAAGGGAGAAGATCTATTTAGCAACAACTTCACGAATTCATTGTCTTAGCTTGAATGAAAATAAGTCAAGGATATTATACTCGATGTATAGAAAGCCTCATTTGGAATATAGAATTAAAGCACCGAATCGTGGCTTGAAATATTAAGTAGATATACTACAATAGGTTCAACAGCGACCTAATATCCGGAGACTGAAACAAAATGGATGGACAATAGGGAATTTGTATATGATTTTTTATTTGAGCAACACATCAGACAGGTTCGTTACACTAGGAACTTAACTGGATCAGAGAGTTTATCTCCCTTAGGCAGCAAGGGTTAGTACCGAAGTTTCTTCTGAAAATAATGATAGGCTGTAACTCAGAACCGCCAAAACATCAACAGTATTAAATTCTTTTGTCAAATTTGTGTCTCCCACTTTAGTTTCTCTAAATGCAGTTATGGTCAATCAAGAAGGTTACTATGAGCGATTGGACTACTTTAAACAGGGTTAAAAATAATCCGTCAGCGTTGAAAATGCTCAACTGCTTAGGCCTTGGGAGGAACTCAGTTAATACACTAGTCATAAAACCTGCTACTAAAATTGTCCAACCGCCTCACACGCCACGGCGTATCCAGTAGGACTTACCGGTGGCAACACCGCCAGATAACCTGACAGTTCAAGGCCGTTGACCTCCAAAATCCAATACTTTTTTCACAAGCCCGTATAAACCGTCTGATTTATTTGTGCTCGCTTTTTGTTGTTTCAGTACGGTTTCAGGTATCAGGTAATGTCCGATGGGTGAAAATCCAGCAATAAGTCCAGTCAGTTTGGCATTCATTCGTGGGCTTGTTTATGTAGCGATTCGAGAGTGTTTGCCTTTTAGTGGCCCTATATCTGAATACGATTATATTGTATGTTGATTGGTATTGAATTATACATCCTGGCTACCCTCGTATGTCATTATCAACCTAACTCGCGTTACTTACAGGTGATGAGTAGGATAAGATGTGTACATGCAAACTCTCATCCAGAAACAGTCAGAATAAATAAGCCAAATATAATAAGCTGTGTGGGTTTAACATAGCATATGACGTTACATTATCCCATGGAAGCAGGGATTCTAAATATAAAAAGCTGTCGCATTAACAGGCAGGATGTTGGTTAATTGCTATTCGGGAAGTAATAAAGTGATTCTTGAGTGCTAGGAGATGACCGTTTCAAGAAATAAATGGATACGTTAATTAATTAGTAATGTATATAGTGTAAGTAGACCGAATTTTTAGGATAAGGGGAAAACGAGGATGATGATAATAGGCGATATAAATATACGCAGTTATGATAGCAGTGGGTAAATTGTGAGACATTTACCAGACACAGATGGCCCAAGCAGGAGTTAGTAATCCTTAGGTAAGTACGCGCTCGCCAAGTCTCCTTGTGATAGCAAATAGATCCCCAAAATTAATAGTTCTGTAAGCCTTCGATATTTGATGCTGACTGCATTAGTTTTACTGGACTCACCCAGCTGAAGGTGCTTGGTCGAGCATCCGCAATTTATCACGAGTCGGTGCGCCGCGCTACACATCTCCTTCAACTGTTAGCAAGTTTAAACCAGACGCTTCTCAACGTATCGATAGCCTTTGAGACATAACTTCGAACCTCTTCAAATTTGGCATACTCAGATTGTGAAGGTGTTACTAGTAAGTGTGCCGTCAAAATCTGAATACATGTGCTGTATTTATCATCTTCAGACCATCCACTGAAAGGACTACGGTCATTTCGGCTAGGATAGCATTCCGATTGGAGCAAATTTTAATAAGAAGAAGTGGGAGCACACCTGAGTTGCTGTTCTTTAATGTGTTACTGTTCGAAAGTCGACTGGAAGAGCGCAGTGTTGAAATTCTGGTAGAATTTTCTTGTCCGGGTGGCTTGGCTCACTCAGTGTTCTGTATGCCACTATAAGACTACCGATTATTCTCTTATAGTTCAGCGAGAATAGTCCCAATTGTTGGAATACGTTTTCGTAAGATTTATGTCCTAGCTCTATCTCTCAATTGATTGCTTATCTTTGTTCTTGGCCTAAAGGATTGATATCTCTTCGGAAGAGAGGGGGAGTAGCGACATTAAGAACTTCAAGACAGGGTTGTGTTTGCCTTTTCAACAGTGTTAGGAACAGCCCTGAGATGGATACGCTAATTTATTCAAATTAATTGGGGAATAGCATTTTCCTTGATAGGATGTTCACGACTTGACATTTCGATAGATTAAATTCTAACTCATTGTCTATTGTCTGTTTCTCTGTTGTAAGATCTTTATGAGGCTTAAGGGAATCGTTTTTGCTTTTGGTGGACCTGGAAAAATTTACGCTGGATGATTAAGCATTGGCTAAAGATATCTTGGTACTGATTCTAGGACCAATATGCTGTAGCGGTAAATAAATCGCCAAAATATTCCATCGAAAAGTGTAGATGAGCATTGGTTGCAATCGCATGACTCTATAAAAATAGAGAGCAAAGTCGCTCGCAACTTCTCGAAACGTCCGGCTTATCCTCACAGGGTTTCTTCAGGCTCCTTACAACTCATTGAAGCCCGTCGATCTACTCCGGGTGACCGTGAGTTTGACTACAAACGGCGATGGTTAAGTAATGGAATTGGGCAAAGATTGCGTAAGGACCGAGAAGCCTAGTAGTTGGAGCGTGCTAATGAGTTGGAAGCAGCAGCTGCATCTGGTAACTACCGGAAGCTCTTCCAACTCATCCGAGCCACTGGCAACAAGAAGTCTGGTGTGAGTGAAACAATCTATGGAGATGATGGGAACGCCAATCACTAACATCCATCGACGTCGTGGACGATCGGTAGAGTTTTTCGAGGAGCAGTTCAACTGGTCCGTTGCATCGGCAACATCGACCACTCCCCTGCCCTCCACGGCCTGCGACGACTGATCCACCAACTGAAGTGGAAGTCCAACTCTTGGAGCGCCCCATATACAAACACCTCAGGCAGAGTGAGGGCATACAACCACCTCTCTCCATTGTTCCTTTCGAGCAGTGGGGTTAGGCAGGGTTGCCCAATCTCACCATTCCTCTTCAACTTTGCCATCGATGACATTTTGGAAACAGCTCTGATGGATGTAAGTAATGGCGGTGTGGATCTGTTGCCTGGAGAAAGACTTCTCGACCTTGAGTATGCGGACGACATTGTGTTACTGTGCGATAATGCCCAAGGCATGCAATCCGCACTTAATCAGTTGGCAATCAGTGTCCGTAGGTACGGTATGTGCTTCGCACTTTCGAAGTGCAAAGTACTTTTACAAGACTGGCAGGATTCTGATCCTGTACTCACCCCGGATGGTGAGCAAATAGAAGTAGTCGGGAATTTTGTGTACCTGGGTAGCTGCATAAGTGCTGGTGGTGGCGTGAGTGATGAGATCAATGCACGTATAGTGAAAGCCAGAGCGGCTTATGCCAATCTGGGTCATCTTTGGCGCCTTCGTCACGTTACCATACTATACTTTATACTATAGTCAACAAAAGCACTGCATCGATGCCTTACCCACAGTCCATAGCTTGTAACTGCCTGATAAGCTTTTAAAATGGTACTTATAGAAATAGTGCTTTCCAACAGGTTGTGAAATAAAGGATTGTGTGAGGTATGACGTGTATACAAAAATAAGCCTAAATGAGCCTAACATTACAAAAGGAGGGAGGGTGGAGTTACTGACCAGCAAGCATTGATGATGAGGGCGATAACTTCAATCCACCCGTGTTTGTGGGGACAGAACATTTTGTATGTATCAGGCTCCTCATGATTGAGAATAAGTCAGTCAATTTGTGATATAGATTGTCTTCCTACGCTCACCACCCAGACTCATGTTTCCAATATTATGCTGGATTAGCTATTCTACTAAGACAACCTATAACATGCTAACTCGGACTTTTACACTAGGATTGTGTAGCTGGCATCGGATAGACAAAAAAATGAAAAAAATTAGATAACAAAATATATAGTCATTAGTATTCTTAACACTTTACCCTCTGTATACACACCCTTCTAATAAACCACTTGTACCAACCTTGACTTCCCTTCCTTCATGTGAGCTTACTCAAACTTGTCAAACGACACAACTCATTGCTCTTCATTACTACATTCTCTAATATGGAGCCCTGACTTCATTTCACTCTAATAATATGAATTTATCCTAATTTATTATACATCTGTCCGTTCTACTACACAATGTTAGGCGACGTTTGGCGTTCATACCGAAGTGCCTTGCTGCTCTACTGTTTCTCGTTTTTTCTTCAGAAATTTGCACTGAGGTCACAGCTATGAAACTTCTGACGTCTGGAACAAACTTGACGTACGCGTCCCCTCAAGGTCACGGTTTACAGCAAGCGCCCTACGAGTATACTTTATAACAACTATAAACTTCATGAGGTGAGAAGCATTTTGTGAACCAAAAAATGTTGTAATTTGTAGATCATGCCTATAAAAATGCGTTGTAGTGGCATTGGACAATAGCCACACAATCCACAAGGCCGTGAACACGAGACTACTCAGAAAATAGATATTCAATATTTAACGCGGAGAAATACCTAACAATGGAGAAGGCGCGAACAATGAATTGAATGGACTGAAGTTGATCGAGTGGCATGGCTCGGCCATGCAGGCGTGGTCTCAGCTGAATGTTACCTTATATCTTCTATTCATATTAAATATATTGTTCTTTCTCTAGCCTAACCTTGTTCTACATCATGTATTGGTAATTGATACGATACAGTGAGTTGGTGTAGACGATTATGTGACTTCCACGTAAGATCTTATAGATTAGGCAGTTATATCATGACAAATCTACAAATTTAGGATTAGGTCTATTATTAGAACAGTACTAATGTCATAGTAGACCATAATTCTACATTGGTAAGCCCGACTAGAGAAACGCAACCTAATATTGTTAATCTTATTTCCATACTAAATTTCTTGATCTATTTTGCATTTATGTTAACCCAATATTCTAACAGTCCTGATTAATGCTTACATGTATTATCGTAATGTTATATTGGTTAGTTCTCATGACATACTAGCTCAATCGATAATAAAAACTGGTCGTCTATATGTTGACAAAAGTGGATTTATTCACATTGGTCGCTGTCTTAACTTAAATCTGACTGTACAGACACATACACTCAAACCTCTTAACACTGTTCGTGACCTGGGTTTAAGATATAGCAACAGTCTGAACTTTTCTGAACACATTATATCTCAAGTATCCAAAGCTAGAAAGCTCATCGGATTGATAACGCTAAACTTCAATAATATCGAATCGAGATTGTTATTATACAGAAAATGTATCTTACCCATTCTTGAATATGGTATTTTAGTTTACAGTAATTGTAGACATACTGATCTGATTAGAATTGAAGGTGTTCAAAGAAGGTTCACTAAAGCTGTTCTGCGGTATTCCGATAACAAAGACTATTACCAAAGATGTCAACAACTCAACTTAGAGCCTCTTTGGATCAGACGTATCAAATTAAATCTTGTCTTTATCTACCGGCTTATTAACGGTATTTCCTACTCTTCGGTATCCACCCCTTCATACCTTATGATATCATCCCACAATCTACGCAATAAGGAGAATATTCTAGCGATTCCAAGAACCCACACAAACTTACGTCAGAATTTTTTCCTTATTCGCTACTCAACCATGTGGAACAGACTGCCAGTGAACCTCCGTTGCAGTGAAACTACAACCCGGTTCAAAAGTCTCCTTGACGATTTTCTTTCCGAAAGTGGATTATGTCACCTATTGAATATCAATGTATTCAATAATGATTTATACAAACAAGGTCCGTCATCCATTTAATTGCTTGAAAAGCAAAATAAAACCTTTGAATCTTTCCACATCTATTTTATTTTATTTCTATTTATCTTAATATATGAAATCTGATTATGTTCGTGTTTATCATTATTTCCGTTATTAATATCATTATTAGTTCCCTGACACATTAGATATTCTTTTTGTATCTTCTTATCCTTCTAAACATATTTAACTCCAGATTGTCCTTTAAAATCAATTTTGACTTTCATAGCATCAATCTTAATTATTATTGCACAAATATTTATACTAATATCCGGTTTCACTCTGTATACTATTACATAAATCTAAATGTATTCATCCGAGTGCTTTAACGGATTTTTATTTTATTTTTGCAATTGCTGGTTTCCTTCTGAGGTTGATATTTATTACACAATTATTATTCTTATCATGGATCAAAACTTTTCACTAGGTGTTCACTTCTTTTCACTCCATTCTTTCCCTCTAAATAAATATTCTTAAGATTACGAAGTTTGTAATTAAAACAATAACTTGTGTTACACTTAAATTTAATTCTCAGACCCGTTTTATCTTCACTATGCATATATGACTCATACATATTGATATTTTATTATCCTTTTCACTTAATTGAGACTTTCATAGCATCACTCCAAACTATGTGACTGCACAAACATTTATTCTAGCGTCATATCTTACTGCAATTATAAGTTATTTTTTCTTAATTATTTTTTCTTACTAATTTGACGATACACA